AGCCAGGCATGCGGAGGGAGATGGGGGTAGAGTTTACAGAACTGTCGGCTTGCAACCAGTAACTGAGATGGAAGGGACCTTGAGGTCATCTAGTCTAACCCACTGCTCTCACAAAGAGAGTACAGTACTGTACTCTATTTCTGATAAATGCCTGTCCAGTTTCTTCTTAAAAGCTTCCAGGGAGAGAACACCCACAACTTCTGGAGGCAATTTAAATTTTAAACCTTTTTTTAAAAAACAAAACAAAACTGCCCCTGATCAGCATAAGCCGCTCCAAGCAAAATCCAAAATGGGGGATTTCCTTCCAGTAAGGCAGGGGTCTCCCAACTTGGCCCTTTTATGACTTGTGGACTTCAACTCTTCCAATTCTGGGAGTTGAAGTCCACAAGTCAGACAAGGGCCAGGTTGGGAGACCCCTGCAGTTAAGGGGTCAGCAGAATCTCTGCTGGGTCTGTGCCAGGGACAGGAGGAGGCAGCAGCAGCCACAGGCTACCAATGTCAGGCAGATGCAAACAAACCATCTTGCAAAGCGCTGCACTTACCAACACAATAAGGGATTGCAAACGACAGAAGTGCAAAATGAGTAAAAAAAAAAAGAATATTTTAAAATACTTACAGAAGTAGCTCTAGCTCTCTAGTCCTCAAGCCCGGCAAGCAGCAGGTCTTCCCGGCAGCTCCAGGAAAGCAAAAGCAAAAGAGATCTTGCAGAAATCACCCAATCAGCTTCCGCCATGTGACCAGGCACCAAAAAAAACCACCACCCACTTCCGGCTTCTCCTCTCCGAGCCACGTGGCTGCAGAGGCCTGTTTGTTGGTGGCGGTTTTGCATGTCTAACAGTAAGTGCCCTTTCTGAATTAATTCGTTTTTCTGAACACTCACTAAATAAACGTTCGTACCTGGGGGAATTGCCTGTATATAGTTTTAAATAAAATAAAATAAACCCCTAGGGTTTTACTTTGCATTTGTTCCAATTTACTGTGCATTTGAATAACTGCCCCCTGCTTTTAATTAAACAGCCAGTTGCATTTAAACATGGAGACCTTGTTGAAGAGCCACTGATAGACTCTGGGGCTCCCTTTTTTTCTAGGCATCCAGTGGAAAGGTTTTTTTAAAATAAAATAAAATAAACTCCTAGGGTTTTCTTTGCATTTGTTCCAATTTGAATAACTGCCTCCTGCTTTTAATTAAACAGACAGTTGCTTGTCTGTTGCATTTAAACATGGAGAGCTTGTTGAAGAGCCACTGATGGACTCTGTGGCTCCCTTTTTTTTCCAGGCACCCAGTGGAAAGGTTTTTTAAATAAAATAAAATAAAATAAAACACACTCCTAGGGTTTTTTTTGCATTTGTTCCAATTTACTGTGCACTTGAATAACTGCACCTGCTTTTAATTAAACAGCCAGTTGCATTTAAATATGGCGACCATCTTGAAGAGCCACTGATGGACTCTGTGGCTCCCTTTTTCTTCCAGGCACCCAGTGGAAAGGTTTTTTTAAAAAATAAAATAAAATAAACTCCTAGGGTTTTACTTTGCATTTGTTCCAATTTACTGTGCACCCTGCTTTTAATTAAACAGCCAGTTGCATTTAAATATGGCGACCATCTTGAAGAGCCACGGATAGACTCTGTGGCTCCCTTTTTTGCAGGCACCCAGTGGAAAGGATTTTTTAAAATAAAATAAAATAAACTCCTAGGGTTTCTTTGCATTTGTTCCAATTTACTGTGCACCCTGCTTTTAATTAAACAGTTGCTTGTCCGCTGCATTTAAACATGGAGAGCTTGTTGAAGAGCCACTGATGGACTCTTTGGCTCCCTTTTTTTTCCCCAGGCACCCAGTTCGCCACCTCCGCTTCAACTCCCACAGCCTCATCACGGCCAACATCCCCAATGAAAAGATTCCCCGAGGGGCCAGCATCACGGACGACGACTTGACCGCTCACCGAAGGTGAGAGCTGACCCTCATGGTGGTACTTTTTTTCTCAGCCAGCAGGAGGCGCCCTGTGACACCCCTCTCAGGGTTGCTAGACTACAATTCCCAGCAGCCTTAGATAGACAATATTGCGAGACGCTGGGAGGCATTCCCCCAAGTTGGCCTTCCTCAGTTTAAACCCAGGGTCTTCAGTCTTGGCCCTTTTATGACTTGTGGACCAACTCCCAGAATTCCTCAGCCAGTGTCCATAAGTCATAAAAGGGCCAAGTTGGAAGACCCCGGGTTTAAACAGGAAAAGAGAAGAAGCCACAATGGAGGAGCGTTTCAGAGCTTATGGTGGCAGAGAGCCAGGATGTTGTGGCCAAGCCAGGCAGGGGTTTAGGATGGGAGGGTAGCCAGCTATAAATCGCAAGCAAGCTCTGGTGAGCAGCAAGTGGCTTGGAAGAACAAACCCAGCGTGATGGGTGAAGGGTGGTAAGATGTTCCAGCACCCATTATTATGGGTTGGGTTGGCTTAGGTTGATGGGGATTATAGTCCAGCTGCTTCTGGATGGCTATTGGCCTCCCCTCTTGGAATACAGAGCAGTTTAGCTTACCCAAATCCTGTTTTAAATCTTCTCTTCTCCCTTCCCCCTTCCTCTCCCCTTCCCTTCCCTCTTCTCCTCCCCTCCCCCCTTACCTCCTTTTCCCTTCTCCCCTCTCCTCCTCCTCCCACTTCCCTTCCCATCTGTTTCCTCATACTCTGAGCTGACTTCCAAGAAGGTGAATACAAGACAGTTGACATATCTAGCCAAGTTTGAAGGCCCCTGGTCTGGAGCAACGTTCTTCAATCTGGGCAACTTTAAGACGTGAGGGCCAATTCCCAGAATTCCCCAGCCAGCTTGAATTTGAAGTGCAGACATCTTAACGTTGCCAAGATTGGAAAGTTGCTCCAGAGGGTTTTGAACTGCTGGGAACCAGGCTGGTTGAAAAGCACTCTGCCTATTTTCTTTTCCCTTTTCTCCCCTTGCTTCTCTCTGGACAGGCACAGAGGCATTATCTACGCCTACGAATTCTCCACAGACAAGCTGGTGGCAGAGAGCGTCCTTCCTATCTGCCGCTCCTCTTACAACGAAGTGGCCGGCTACAGCTACAACATTGGCCTTGTGGTCCCCTATGACGACATCTAGGCAGGGTGGGAAGAAGGGAAGTCCAGCTGAGCTGGACCCTGGAGAAGGAGAACCCCAAGGATGGCGTTCCTGCAGACCTCTTTGGAGGGCTCGGAAGCCACGGGTTGGCCAAGTAGGCAGCAGAAGAAGGGGGGCACATGGGGGTCCCACAGCTTTAATAACAGTGCTGTGGGAACGTAGAAGAGATGGTG